CACCACCAACAAAACACTCAACAAGTCGAAGCACTTCATCATCTGGAGCGTCTGTACCAACAAATAAACAACAACAACAAATTAAAGCAATAAAAAACTAACGAACAATAAAAAAAAACCCAAAAACATTCAATAAAAAAACAAAAAAGAGAAATAGGAATCTAAACATTCTAAATCATACCGAGTTAATGTTCTGTAGTTCAGAGCCAACCTGTGAACATTTTTGTGACTGCCGGTTGAAAAGGGGAGGCTACTTAAGTTTGATAAAATTATTGTGTTGTTGAATCACGGACTGCATTTATTTTTAATGTAGAAGTTTTCCGTCCCATCGGTTCAATCTAGACAGTTTCTGAGGCGGGTCTCGGATTTGTCTGCCAGGAACAACGCGGGCTGAGAGGAAAACAACGTCGCAACAAGAAGTTCGAGACGTTCTATACAAAAATTATCTTGTCCCAGGAATCGAACTCAGGTCTTCTGCGTGCGACGGCGAAGCACCTAACCACTACACAACAGATGCTTGTACACTACATCTTCAAAACAGCATTTCAAACCAATAGAAACGCTTTGAACGGTTTTTACATGGCTTTTAATTCATCACCAGCATCTCAAGTGTAAACCTTATAGATCTAGTGCGGTAGAAAAAAATTCATGGCGCAACGCATCCTCAAATATCTCTTTAACGGGTGAGTCAATGTCATCCATACTTTGCACAGCAGTTTGTATCCATAATTCAAAATATTGCTTTTCTTAACTTGATCATATTTTTCCTCAACAATTGAGGCTAAATTTAAATAAAACTTTTCTTCATAAATTACTGTTGAATGCTATAGATCTCCGCCATGCGAAAAATGGGATTGTTCCCAGCACTCCCCGCTTCTCACACATTTTTTTGCGTGCGCATATGGCCTACATCATGTCTAATCAATGATACTATTTAGTGGCAAAACTTGTAACAAGAAATGTATTTTATAGTGAACAAATATTTTGCACTAAAGCTTCACAAAACATGCATTCAAGAAGCATAATCTCGCGATTAGAATAAAAATGCTTTTTAAAGCGATATTGCCCCAGCAGTAAACGTTTCAAATTCTGTAGAAACTACCCACTAGGAATGTTTACTAGTATTCATTAGGAAACTTGCTATTATACAGCTAGCAGGTATTTACAAAAATGTTGATCTGTTTAGACAGATTGATTCAAGTCATAGTACAAAAGTCGGGGACTCGATGTTCGATTGTTGAGGAAATATATTTTACAATAAGTTGGATCATGAATTTTTGACGGCGCTATAATTCCTTAATTTCTTTTGGGGGTGTTGATTTGCTGTTTGCCTTTTGTAGCCTATTCAAGGTAACGACGCAATTAATATAATTTTTTAAAGCGATAAACATTCGCTTAATTGTCGTTATCGAGAAAGCCTGGCTTTCCCTAAAATAAATTCACACCCAAACCAGTGGGGCAACTGATTAAATAAACTTCACATTATTTTGTACCAGCAGAATAGTATATTCTGATGTTGCTGTACGTTGCTAAGTAGAACTACTCTTTATTGTTTCACTTGCCTGCTTCCAGTCCGATAAGTAGGCGTACCGGAGAAGATCGCTTGAGCTGAAAATCTCTGGCCCCAACTGCTGTCCTTTCTCTTTTACCCTTTCTCACCACAAGCACAGTTCAGTTAGGCATCGTTTTATGAACTGACCTAAGGAACGAGAGGTTACTTTATTTAGAGGACTAGATCCGGCTACCGGTTTCTCATCAACGTCTAACCTTTCTTAACCCAGAATCCTCATAAGTGCCCAATAATATGAGAGACCAGCCATCTTTTCCTCGCACTTACCTCCCTTCTCTTGTGGAGAGTGCTGACTCTTTCCAGCCACCCACTTGTGCTCAATGGCACGCCTTGTTGGTCTGTTGGTCAACGACCAAACGAAGAAGTTTTTTAAAGAAATCTTTTTTTCTACGTACTAAAAAAGTTACGGTCTTCGCCTCTCTTTCAATAGGTCCCGGATTCGAAACTTGACAGCGATGGGAAAAATTTTTCTCCAGAATGTTCTCCTTTCACCTCCTTTCCTGCTCTCTAACCATGTCCTGTCGTCTGCTTTCGTCTACACTTTCTTCCCCCAATCCTCCCTTTTGCCCCCCCCCCTTCTGGGCTTGGGCTCCTGACTCTTTCTACAGCAGTTCTACTGCTACTGCTACTCCATGGTTCATTCTTACTGCTGTCTTTCAGCCACACCCCCAATGTTAAGGTAGGTAAGATTAAACACCTTGCCTTCTTGATTAAAGTCAAAAACTCTTTGAGGTCCCGTGTGCAAGTTTCTCACTTTAAAGTTCCCTTGGTGGTCCAAAATCAATAAGAGTAAGCTTCGACCGCCATCCGGGCAACATTTAAAATTTATTTATATCAAATTTAAAAACGTTTAATGTGTCTCGCACGCTCAAATGACCTTATACAGTTGCGAGCTCCGTAAAATTCTTTGCAAAACAGAACACTGCCCTTAGGGTGCATAAAAATGATCACTACAATAAATGGTTTTATGTAATCGAGCCTAAGAACTTCTTAATAATTTTGAGACAGTGATACCACCCAGCCCCTTAGTTCAGGTCTCGCTCATTTGATTTCTTGGACCGTGTTTCATAGGCGTACGTTAAAGTTTGTTGTAGTGAAAATGGGTCAGCGCTCTAGTGTTTCATGTGTACGCTGCAAATCCCCGACGATTTTTTTTTTACTCTAATGAGGCTAAAATCAAAGGAAACGTGTCGAAACTTTAGTTTTCAGTGACTTTCATTAATAGGCTTTTAGATTATGTTGGTTATCCAATTTTTGGACCCCTATGCAATGATGCGAGAAGATTTTAACAGAGTACTTTGTTTTTATCTAGATTTAACAGTGGACAGACGAAAGTTAACAAGCTATAGTAATATGTCAGTAGCATTTAGCTAGTAATAAGTCAGAATATTTCGGTAATATGCCAGTAATATGTCCGTAAAATTTAGCTAGTAATATGTCAGTACTTCGGTAGGTCAGTAATGTGCTTGTAATTTGTTAGTAATATGTCAATAACATATAGCTACAAATGTAGTAATATGTAAATAATGTGTTATCAGTAACTATTGGTGAATGGTATTATAATGCCATTAAATCGCCATTGATATGTCAGTATTAATTAGTAATATGTCAGTAAAATATCAGTAAAATATCAGTAAAATATCAGTAACAAGTAGCGTGTAATATTATGACAATAATATATCTATAACTATCAGCGAGTAAAATGTCATTAATACATATTATGTCAGAACGATAAGCTGAGAATAACTCTGCGCATATTTTGTTTTTTTGTTTTTGTAAAGTTTTTTACGGCGCTCGCAACTGCATAAGGTCATATGAGCGCGCGGGACACACCTAATACTTTCAGTTGGTAGGAAATTTTGAATTTTGCCCGGGTGGCGGCCGAAGCCTACTCTTATCGATTTTAGACCACCAAGGGATCTTTAACGTGTGCAACGTGCACACGGGCCCTCCGAGATTTTTCGCCCTTGTCCGAGAAGGCTAGGTGTAGATCTTTCCTACCAGAAGGTCAGGGGTGTGGCAGAAAGACAGCAGTAAGGAGGAGCCAAGGAGTAGCAGTAGAAAGGCTTCAGAAAGAGTCAGGAGCCCAGAGGAGGGGGCAAAGGAAGTGAGGGGGTGGGGGCAGAAAGTGGAAATGAAAGCAGACAACAGAACATTGCTAGAGAGCAGGAAAGGAGGTGAAAGGAGACAATTTTTGAGAAGAAAATGTTTCGGTTGCTAACCGGATTCGAACCCGGGACCTTTGAATGAGAGGCCAACACCTTTACATCTAGGCCACGAGAGCCCCCTGCGCATATTTGCCATAAAGGATAAATACATTTAATAGCTCTCCTCCCATTTCTGCGGTGCCTTGAGGATTTTTGCTACACCATCAACCTCCCACCTTTCTTTGCCCTGTCTATAGAGCTCACACTTCTAACCACCCTAATATTGTTCTGCTCCCAAACTCCTGGCTACATCCGCTTGAACAACAGCTAGTATTGTTCTCCGATGACGATTTCCTTGGAATTTCCATATGACCTCGCGGGCTCACTTCACTTCACGACCAAGTGCCTCTTGACCTCTTGTCTCTCTTCTATACCTCTGAGGTCACGCGCAGAGTCACACGAGTCAAAACAACTTTGCTAACATCAACAGCAACAACAACAACAACAACAGTAGAAATAACAATAATAATAATAATAATAATAATGATAATAATAATAATAATAATAATAATAATAATAATAATAATAATAATAATAATAATAATAATAATAATTATAATAATAATAATAATAATAATAGCAACAACAAGAACAGAGGGAACAAAAATAATAATAATAATAACAACAACCAAAACAACAACAACAACAACAACAACAACAACAACAACGACGACGACGACGACGTCGACGGCGACAATAATAATAATTTTTTTTAAAGTATTGTTTTAATAATAATAATAATAATGATAATAATAATAGTAGTAGTAGTAGTAGTAGTAGTAATAATAATAATAATAATAATAATAATAGCAACAACAACAACAACAAAAACAACAACAGCAACAGCAGCAGCAATTACATGTCTATAGTGCTTATCCATAAAGTGTGCCGTGTGCAAGCACCGCTCGACGGCTCAGGTCAAGAAACACGTTTGTCACGTTTTTCTAAAATGGATTTTTGTTTGTTTTTCCACCAATGCATAATAATAGTATCTTTCTCAGTCACAGATCTTTTCGATGCGAGGTTCCGACAGTAAATTGTAACAGGCTGAAGCTAGTAGCACGACTTATGTCATCTTTAGGCTTAAGCTAGTACCCCGACTTAATATTCCTCTATAGGCTGAAGCTAGTACTACAACTTAATATTTCATCTATAGACTGAAGCTAGTACCACGACGTATTATTTCATCTATAAACTGAAGCTAGTACCACAACGTATGTCTGTTATAGGCTAACGCTAGTACAGCTCTCGTGGCCTAGAGGGGTTAAGGTGTTAACCTTTCATTCAAAGGTCCTGGGTTCGAATTCGGGTAGCGGCCGGACAATTTTCTTCTCTAAAATTGACTCCTTTCACCTACTTTCCTGCTCTCTAGCAATGTTATGTCGTCTGCTTTCGTCTCCTCTTTCTGCCCCCACCCCATCACCGAATCTAACCCCCTCATCTGGGCTCCTGACTCTTTCTGCAGCCTTTCTACTGTCACTCCGTAGCTACTTCTAACTGCTGTCTTTCAGCCACACCCCTGATCTTCTGGAAGGAAAGATCTACACCTAGCCTTCTCGGACAAGGGCGAAAAATAGCGGAGGGCCTGTGTGTAAGTTGCGCACGTTAAAGATCCCTTGGTGGTCTAAAATCTAAAAGAGTAGGCTTCGACCACCACCCGGGCAAAAATTCAAAATTTCCGACCAACTGAAAAAGTTTATTGTGTCCCGCGCTTTCATATGGCATTATGCAGTTGCAAGCGCCGTAAAACACTTCCCCCCCAAAAAAAGCTAGTACCATGGGTTATGTCTGCTCAACGAGGCGCTGTGGGCCATGGAGAGGGAGACAAACGGAGCCTACGGCACTACCAGATACACTAAAGTTTTCACGTCCAGCTCGTGTCTGGTCACGAACCGATATTAAGCTGAACACGACCTAAAGCTCCGTTTTCGCCAAAAAACAAAACGCAGCAATGTTCTCCACAAACAAACACAACCCTGCAACGTTTAAAACAAAAATCACAGCCCCTGCAATGTTTAAAACAAACAATAAAACTCTGCAATGTCTACCACAAATAATTACAATCCTGCAATGTTTGAAACAAACAAACAAATGAGCACAACCCTGCAATGTTTGAAACAAACAAACAAATGAGCACAACCCTGCAAATGTTTAAAACAAGCAAAACAAACTCAGTAGTTTCTACCACAAGCAAACAAAACCTTGCAATGTTTAAAACAAACAATTACAACCATGCAATGTTTGAAACAAACAATTACAACCATGCAATGTTTAAAACAAACAATTACAACCATGCAATGTTTAAAACAAACAAATACAACCATGCAATGTTTAAAACAAACAAATACAACCATGCAATGTTTAAAACAAACAAATACAACCATGCAATGTTTGAAACAAACAAATACAACCATGCAATGTTTAAAACAAACAATTACAACCATGTAATGTTTGAAACAACGAAGAAACAAGCACAACTCTGCAATGTTTAAAACAAATAATACAGCTCACAATGTTCACCACAAAAAAATCACAACCCTCTAGTTTAGTTTTAGTAAGGTTTTACGGCGCACCCAACTACAGAAGGTCAAAATTATTAGCGCCAAGGGGTGGATGCCAGCAGAGAAGTCCAAATGGGGAATCAGTCCTTTCTAAGCTCAACAGTACAAAGTCTGCTTCGACTATTAAGCACCGCGGAAATAGCAGTTCACAAGAGAGTGACAAACATACAAAAGAAGGAGAGGAAACATTATGAAAGTAAGGAAGAGGAAAGAAAAAGCAGCAGTTCCCCCAATGTTGTTCCGCCATAGTATGAGCCTGACATTAATAAATCAGCCTATTTACACTTCTACTGTGTATAAGAACATGTTAATATCCCCCTTTGGGAATGGCATAGAGACACATTAGTCAGTAGCACTATCCTGGGGTGGGGTGGGGGATCACAACCCTGCGACGTTTAAGACAAACAAAAACAACTTTGCAACCCCTAACAAATTAAAGGCTTCGTCCTTGCATTTCAAGTGGTCAAAGATTTACTACACAAGATGATGTCAACAGGACGGAGCAGTTTATAAAGGTGACTGGGAGCAAGTCAGTGTTTCCTGGAAAGCAAATATCTGAAAAAAATATTTCAACGGAAATATAAAAAACAAACTTCTAAAACATAACCGGAGCTAAAAGATGCTCGTCAGCACGTAGCTTACCCTTGCTCTGAATTTTGTATCCTGAAAGGAAGCAAAAGTCGGCCAACCCTGAGAAGAGTATAGCATCCGGGTGTCACGACGCGGTGGAATCAGACGCTCGTCAATTTATGGGTATGTGGAGTTATATTATTAACTTGGAGCATACTCATTTGCCTATCTTTGGATTTTTAAAAAGTACTAATCTATCTTGAATAGAAGTCCAGAAACTGAAAGAAGTTGGGGGGTCGCCAGGTAATATTAGCAAGGTGACACAATTTGCGATTATCATCTTGTTTTACTCTCCAGAGAGCCCTATACCCAGCTCTCTTTCTCTATATCTTCAGCTCTCTATTTATCTCTCTATATCTCCCTCTCTTTCATTCTCTCTTCCTCTCCTATTAAGCTCTCCATCATCTTGTTATTCGCTCCAGAGAGAGATCCATAGTGCAATATACCCAGCTCTCTATCTCTCTATCTCCTTCTCTCTCTGTCTGCCTCTCTCTCATTCTATCTCCCTCTCTCTCTCTCTCTCTCTCTCTCT